CTTCTTCTTCTTCTTCTTCTTCTTCTTCTTCTTCTTCTTCTTCTTCTTCTTCTAGCATATTCATCTGTTTGTCCCTTGGATGTTGTATCCAATTCAGCCTGGGTTGGCTCAAACAGACAGGACCGAAATAGCCCGCTTCCTTAAATATCAAAAGTATGCCGATGGAACAGTAAAGCATGTAGGTTTTTTTTTAAACGTTCATAAACCAGTACATCATCAATATAGACAGGTTGTACTCTATGTCTCAGCGAGCAGGGGTCTTCAAAGATGCAAAAAATTACGATCAGATTTGCTCTGTGTTGGAGCCTTCTTCTCTATGGAATTATCCAGGTCACCGAAGCGAATTTCTTCACACACGGAAGTAAGTGATAATTTTGTACTTTTGAATTGCAGTTTGGAAAAACTGATCATGTTGTTGCTTCCTAGATAGATAGATAGATAGATAGATAGATAGATAGATAGATAGATAGATAGATAGATAGATAGATAGATAGATTTCTCGAACTTGTGACAACAAGCCGTTTAATTACATTGTATTTTAAAGGCCGAAATAAGGAAACCTGTAGTGCAATAGAGATAACGCATTTGACTGCTGTTTATACGTTAAAAATGACTAATATACACATGTGTTTTAAAAAGTTCATTTCTACTTGTAACTGAACATCGGAGAAACTGTTTCAAATGTACTTTGCTGCACAATACTCGCATCAATCAGTTAATAGCGGGTGGGTTTAATTTTTACTTTCTTTCTTTTAAATTGAGGGGGGGGGGCGCCACTGGTAGGTCCTATTTCTTTTCTTTCCCTTTGTTGTGTACAGTTTAGTTTCTGTCTGTTTTGCTTACTTTTTCCCCTGCACTAAACGACCGTTATTTATTGTTTCGTTTCTCCTTGATTTATTTGAGCTAGCTATTACCTTTAACATCATGAGACATAATTCAAAATTGTTTTTGAATCATTGTAACATATTTTTATGATTGTCTCTCACAGAATCAGGTGTCCAGTGTGGAGAGAACAAATGTCTGTCTCAAGTACCGTGCAAAAACCAAAAGTGTGTATGTCCCTACAGAGGGTTTGGCACTTTCCTGTGCCCACCTCATGGTGAGTATCACTGCCTTCTCGATATTGTGTGTGTGTGTGTCTTGTAGCTATCCGTTCAAAATGTTTGGAGCCCCGAAGAGCGTGCTCTTCGCCAGCGCCACCGCCTCCCTTAGGTAGCCTTCTCATTGTTTTTGTTGTTGTTTTTGTTGTTATTGGTGGTGGTGGGGGCTTTGGTTATTGTTTTTTTTTTATTGTTGTTGTTTTTTGTTGTTGTTATTGTTGTTGTATTGTTGCTGTTTATGGTGGTAGTGGAGGTGGTTGTAGTGACATTGGTAGTTGTGGTGGTGGTTTCTGTGCTGATGAGGATGATGATGATGATGATGATGTCTGAAATATCCTTATTAATGTTTCTTTCGGGCCACTCTGATCAATGTGAAACCTTTTAGGGGTGGAGTCTTCTTTTCTGGCTTCAGTTTTGCTTCCCGGATCAAACAGATATCGAAATCTTTCTCCGTGTAGTGTCTGGGGTGGGGGTGGGAGGGGGGTTCTTGAGACACTGTCTCTCTGATGACAGTATTCGACTGGTGTTTGGTATCCATTGGTTTGATGTCTTGGACTCCAATATGTTGGATGATGCCATTTGTCCAAGTGTAATAAAATAATTGCTGTTGTTGTGTCGCTGCTATTGCTGAGTTCTTTTCTGTTTTGTGTGTTGTTGTGTTTTTTTGTGTGTCGTTGTGTTTTTTTGTGTGGGTTTTTTTAATGGAGGAGTTGTTTGTTTGTTAGTTTGTTTGTTTGTTGTTTTTGTTTGGTAGGTTGATTGTTTGGTTGTTCGTTCGTTCGTTCGTTCGTTCGTTCGTTTGTTCGTTCGTTCGTTTGTTTGTTTGTTTGTTTGTTTGTTTGTGTTGGGGGAGGGGGGTAAAGATCGTGTAAACAAACATTTTTCTTACAAATCTCGTGGGTCATATGTTGGTTCCAGCCACAGACTTCTGCGTTATCTTCAACGACCCTGTGATTCACGGCTTTGACATCTCCCGTGTAGAAGTCCCCATCAACAACAAAGTGCTCATGGCTCACGTGGAGTCGCACGCCTGTGGGGCGACCGGACCACAGCCTGCCATACACGAAGTGGGATGTGACACCAGGGTAAAGGACTCTACATAATGCGTCTGAAACTCGCGCCTTGGCCAATTGAGGCCTCCTTTAGTTTTAGTAGAGGTTTTACGGCGCATGCAACTGCATAAGGTCATATGAGAGCCAGAAGATTAGAGGTGTCACAAGAGAGTAACAAACACCAAAAAAAAGATGGGGAGATAAGGACGATAGATGTTTCATAGGAAAGAAGAAGCAAACCACACCAGACCACCCGCCTCCTGCCGGGTGATACTTTGCATGCGGCCTGTACTAGAGCTAGACATCAAAGTTTGTTTTATATTTTTAGTAGGGTCCCTTTTTAGTTTGAGTTTTACGGCACTTGCAATACTCTTAGGTCACATAAGTATCGAACATCTAAGATAAGTGCTAGAAAGCATACGTTCTGAAGAATCGTTCATATTCTGAATTGCTACCAACAAAGATTCGGAAGATTAAATGAGTGTAGAGGTCTAGTTTTTAAAAATACTTGAAACTTTGTGTGTGTGTGTGTGTGTTTGTGTGTTTGTGTGTTTGTGTGTGTATGTGTGTGTGTGTGTGTGTGTGTGTGTGTGTGTGT